CAGCAGCTTTTATTCTGAAAAAACGATTTTCAAAATAATGTGTTCAGGGACACTCCGTGCTGCGTTCAGGGACTCTGTTCTGTGTTCAGGTACACTCTGTGCTGTGTTCAGGGACACTCTGTTCTGCGTTCAGGGCCGCTGTGCTGCTTCAGGGACACTCTGTTCTGCCTTCAGGGACATTCTGTGCTGTGTTCAGGGACACTCTGTGCTGTGTTCAGGGACACTCTATGCTGTGTTCAGGGACACTCTGTGCTGTGTTAGGGACTCTGGCTGCGTTCAGGGACACTCTGTGCTGTGTTCAGGGACTCTGTGCTGCGGACAGGGCCTCTGTGCTGCGTTCAGGGACACTCTGTTCTGCCTTCAGGGACACTCTGTGCTGTGTTCAGGGACACTCTGTGCTGCGTTCAGGGACTCTGTGCTGTGTTCAGGGAACACTGTGCTGTTCAGGGACACCTGTTTTGGGTCTGTTCTGCCTTCAGGGACACTTGTTCTGGGACATTCTGTGCTGTGTTCAGGGACACTCTGTGCTGTGTTCAGGGACACTCTGTGCTGTGTTCAGGGACTCTGTGCTGTGTTCAGGGACTCTGGGCTGCATTCAGGGACTCTGTGCTGCGTTCAGGGACACTCTGTGCTGTGTTCAGGGACTCTGTGCTGCGTTCAGGGCCTCTGTGCTGCGTTCAGGGACTCTCTGTGTTGGGTTCTGTCGTTCAGGGACTCTGTGCTGCGTTCAGGGACCTCTTCGGGACTCTGTGCTGTGTTCAGGGACACTCTGTGCTGTGTTCAGGGACTCTGTGCTGCGTTCAGGGACACTCTGTGTGTGTTCGGACACTCTGTGCTGTGTTCGGCCTTTTGGTTCAGGGACTCTGGGCTCTGGCACACAGCCAGTGAACGCCTCATTAAAGTCCAGTTAATCTGCTGTGTGGAAACAGAGCTGATCCAGAACCTCGGAGCCACAATCAGAACCATTTAGATTTAAGAGGCTTATGTTGGTCGGGATTAATCGGAGCTCTTACGTAACGCACTGCGACTCGGGTCGGACGCGGTCAGGACGGAGAGTTTGGGTCAGTGTGCAGATGTTCAGCTGCTTAGTTTCTCTGACCTTTGACCTCCGTCAGGCTGAGCCCTCCTCCAGGTTCAACTCTACCATACAGATCTAAGTGTGACAGCTTCTGATTATTGATTATTGATCAGCTCCATATAGAACATAGCTCTATAGTTTATACACTGATTAATGATTATTGATTATTGATATAATAAAGCTCTCTCTGTCCTCACTTTCACAACTTCCTCATTGTTAAAATCTTTGTCGGCTCATTGATCCTGTAACAGACTCCCCCCCCCCCATTAAACTGCACTTCCTGTCTGAGACAAAGTCCACCCTGATTTCTACACGAGCTATCGTAGCGCGAGACAACTGATTACGTCATCCAGCTGTGTGAACATCTGTTTCTATGGAAGCTCATTTCTGCCAACGTGACTTATAATCTCCAAATAATGAGAAACCTTCTCAAACCAGCTGCCTGCACCCAAAACCACAAAGGAGAAAGACTTTATTATTATTATTATTGTTGTTGTTGTTGTTGTTGTTGTTGTTGTGAAACAAACAAACAGCTGTTGGTGTCTCTATGTGGACAGAGGGCGTCGGCCTGCAGGAGGTCACAGTGAAACAGGAAGAGGAAGTTGTGCCACCTGTTTCCTCTTGAGTAACTTCCAGCAGCTGAGGCGTTCACTGACCTGACGAGGTGGAGGAGATTTTAATGCTGAGCTCAAATAAAAAAACACAAATTCTAAACAACATTAGAAACATTTTCAACTGGAGGAGAAAAAACCTGCAGCCAGCGACGGAGAGCGGCACCAGACCAGAGCCGGGGCGTCTGCGGACGCGCTCGCGTAACCACGAAGAAAAAGTGATCGGATTCAATATAAACACAAAGAAACTGAATTTTTTATTTCATCTTCCGACTGATGCTAACTCAGTGCTAACATGCTAACTCAGTGCTAACATGCTAACTCAGTGCTAACATGCTAACTCAGTGCTAACATGCTAACTCAGTGCTAACATGCTCACTCAGTGCTAACATGCTAACTCAGTGCTAACATGCTCACTCAGTGCTAACATGCTAACTCAGTGCTAACATGCTAACTGAGGGTCCTCTCAAGAAAACGAATGTGTGTCTCACCGGCGGCGGTTTTGCCACCACGCAGCAGCCCATCTTGTGCCAGAAGTCGCTCATGCCGACGCCTCGCCGGTCCAGCGGCCGGCCACCGCTCTCTGCTGCCGCCCTGCAGGCCGGGGGAGGAACTGCAGCCTGCGGGTAGTCCTGGGGCATCCAGACAAAAACTGCACCAGCAAAGGATCAAAACCCCCAAATAGCCTCCACCTCAGACTGAGACCCGCTGAAGGACTCCAGGTGGTTCCGACTGAAGAAGAATAAAAACTGAAAATCCACAAGTTCTGACAGGAAAGTGTTAAAATCACGGGAGCGTTAAATCCCACGAA